AAAGGGCTAAAAAGCCCCCCAAAAGGCCCCAAATTGGACCCCAAAAAGCCCCAAATGGCCATAAACAGCCTCAAATGTGCCCCAAAAATGCCATCAAAATGGCTCCCAAAAGGCCCCCAAACCACCAAAATAGAGCCCAAAAAAGCCCCAAAAGGCCCCAAATTTGCCCCAAAAGTTCTTTGTGTGATCATAGAATCTTATCACAGCACGGTTGCCTTGGAAGGGACCTTAAAGCCCACCCAGCTCAGAGCCACCCATGCTCTGGAGCACCCCCAGCTCTGGGCAGCAGTGCCTCACTGCCCCATACAGTTATTCAGAACATGCTATGTGATTTCCAATGGGAAAGATGAGCCCAGATACGATGATGCAGTGATTACACCACAACTTGACAACTCCCCTGGAACAGCCTTTTGAGTGACAATTGACTTTTTGATCTCGCAGCCACGGGATGAGGATGCTGGATAAAAGTCAGAAAGCAAGAGCTATGGAACTTTGTTGAATTCAACGTCTTTCAAATGGCTGCAGCCAAAGGCCAGCTGATGGCAGAGATGAGAGTTACGTTTTGCAGCTCAGACATTAATTGGAGGGCTGCGGATTTCTAGCTCACAGACGCTGTAAAACACACAGCATTGGATGTTTGCTGCCAAGAGATTTATCCATCTGGCATCACGTGTGGCTTCACCTTCATTAAAACCTCTACATCTGAACCCACCAAAGCTCTTAAGAAATGGCAAATACATTCAAGTAACGAGCTTTTGTCCATGAAACTGTGAAGCTTCAATTCATGCACCTGAGAGATGTATCCCACGGCCACTGCAAGCAAACCAATCAATGCTGATCCTTCTCCTCCTGCAGAATGTCCTCAGCCTTTCCTGAAGACCCTGCTCTCTACCTCCACCTGGGCCATGCAGTCCTCCCACCACAGAAACCATGCCCTGGAGCACACAGGATGAATGCAGGAGAAGCTGCACCTCGTTTTTGACCTCAGCCCCAAATCCACACCCAATATCGTGCAACGAGAGCCTGGATCTTAGTAGGACAGCTCCACCACAAGGCAACGGAGCGTTCACCAATTTGGACTTGATTCCTCCAACTACCGTGGGCCCGGGTCTGTGAATGGCTTGGAGTTCTTGGCATAAATCAGTTGCAACGCAATACACTTCTGAGCATGGATTAATCCAAAACCAAAATCTGTGTGTCTGAGCACCACCTCGCCTTCTGCGTACTTCCTTCCAGCAGCTCAAGAACCACGGTTTTATTTGCATGAACAACTAAAGGTTCATTCTGAGCTTAAATATTTGCCCAGAGCAAATTTCAAACCGCTCCGTTACTGCCACATTTGCAGGCTGTGTGGTGCTGATGGGTTCTGCAAATCTCCTGACCCACCAGTGCTTGCTCCACAACCCACCGAGGCACGTGAGATACAGCTGTGCCATGCATGGGGCTGCACTGGGGCCAAACTTCCAAATATTCCCAGCAAAGGACGCGTCGACCATCTGCACACCACGCTCCGAGGGGACTTGTGATGGCATGCAAATGCACACAGAACATTCCTTCTTAGAGGAAACGAGAAGCAAAATTAATTGACTCCCCTGTTGAGCATCGCTGTTGCTTCTTCAGATTCCCTCTGCACCAAGGGATCTTGACACTGACAGCTTGTCTCGACAGTGCTCTGTTTTACAAGGAATAGGTGTAGGCACATAATTTAAATGACCTTTAGGTCCTCCTTCTGGGAGCCAGAGGAAGAGCTGAGCTCTCCCATGGGCCCTCCAGGGGTCCCAAGGAGCCAGATCCTCGTTTCAAGAGCAAAACCCTCTGCCCAGCTTCATTCCCATAACACCCAGGCTGCTCCAGGACCACACACGAGCAGCTTCCCCACCTCTCAGCCACTCCTGGAGGGAACCTCTGAGGATGCTGCAGCAAAGCGATGAACGCCGGAGCACTGATCCCAGAGCCAGAAGCATCCCTTGGGAGCAACGCTGTAAGTAAATCCTTCCCTTCCACATCTCTAACAACCACAGCTGGCAGGCAGGAAGATGGTTTGTTAACACAAGCCCTGTGTAATTACTGGAGGTGGCATTTGCCAAGCAAACCCCGTGCAATTACTGTATAAATAAAATCTGTTTCATGACATTTGTATCCGCCAGCTAAGAGAGCCAACGAGAGGAAAAGCAGCTGTGCTGGTGGCTGCATCCTCCAGAACTGGAGGACCACTACCTCCCATCTCTTTCCCTTTGATGGGGAAAAACCCAACGTTCCCTTTTCCGTCCCAGAAAACATCCTGACCAGCACTGTGTGGAGCCCTGGAGGATGGGCAAGGTAACCTGAACCATGCAGCTTGCTGCAAGCACTCCCTGCCTATGCTAGCACAGCAAAGCTGCCACCTCTGCAAGGGCAAGGAGGGTGACCTGGGGTGGGCTGGTCACAGCTGCTCCCAGCACATAGAACCAGAAAAGCATAGAACAGATAAGGTTGAAAAGGACCACAATGCTCATCTCTTTTCAACCCCCTGCTGTGTGCAGGTTGCCAACCAGCAGAGCAGGCTGCCCAGAGCCACATCCAGCCTGGCCTTGAATGCCTGCAGGGATGGGGCATCCACAGCCTCCTTGGTCAACCTGTTCCAGTGCCTCACCACCTGTTCAGTGTGTTCACAGTGCCTGTCCCCAGAAGCTGTCCTGCTATGGAGTTCTTTATCCTTGTAGGGCCAGTGCTGGGGGGAAATCCATGGCTTGATATCTCATCCCTTCACCAGCATCCTCCCAGGTTGGCACGGAGTGCTGGTGCCCCACCACACAAGGGAAGAGGGACAGGGAGCCCCACCTGAGATGTCGCAGTAGACGGTCTGCTGATAGAGCCTGGCTTCTCGGGGTTTAAAGATCACGTTAACTTCAGCCGAAGAATTTGGCCAGACGTCTCCTTCCTGAAACAGAAGCAGACAGTGAGCTGTTTACCTCCAAACATCACATTTCTCGGTTTCAAACACTGTCACCTGTACCTGGGCATCAGCAAAGAGCAAGGAGCAAGTGAACATCCATCAACAAAATTTATGAGAGTTTGGTATCGGCTGTAAAACAATAACGTTCCCAACCCCATACCTTTACGGGCCGACAGAGGCATTTTGTTAGCTGCAGTGATACCCTGCAAGGAATAAAAAATGCAGCTTATAGAAGGAGACAGGGAGCAGAGCTATTTTCTATCAACAAAGCGGGGCTGTGATTCTGCTGGCTGCTGGGCATCCTCAGTGCTTTGTCCAGACGAGCCTTGAACTGATGGGAGCCTCCGGCGCTCCTGAGGCATAAGTATTAAATAACTGTAACACTTCCCATCGGCTCGGTGCTCACAGCTCAAAGGACAGTTCCCACGGAAATTAAAGAGACACGGTGAGTTATTGGGCTGCAGCTGTGAGCAGCTCCTCTGCACACTGCCTGCCCAGGGACATCATGGCAGAGAGAACCACGTCCAGCACCAAGGAGTCCTCCCCATCACCACGAGAGAAGAACGAAAGAAGAGGATGACTTAGAGACTTCTCAAAGAGCTAGAACAAAGACAAGTGCTACATCTTTATTAAGGTTGTCATTAAGGTTGTCATTAAGGTTGGAAAGTCCACTCCAACCATCTAGTCCAACCATCGATCCATGCCTGTGACCACTCTGGACCTCAGTGGCACTTCCTCATGGCTCTGGGACACCCTCAGGGATGAGGACATCCCACCTCCCTGGGCAGCTGTGTCAGTGCCTCACCACTTTTTCTGAGAAGCAACTGTTCCTAATATCCCACCTGAACCTCTCGTGGCACAGTGTTTCTCTCCGGCGAGGAATAGGATGAAGATAAAACCTTATGGTGCCATTAGGATATCATAACCACGGTTGGGTTGAAAAGGACCACAATGATCATTGAGTTCCAACCTCCCTGCCATGTGCAAGGTTGCTAGCCACCAGATCAAGCTGCCCAGAGCCACATCCAGCCTGGCCTTGAACGCCTCCAGGGATGGGGCATCCACAACCTCCTTGGGCAGCTGTTCCAGTGCCTCACCACCCCCTGTGTGTGCTGGTAGTTTGATCTTCGATAGAAGAACAAACAGCAGTGAGGAGTGAAAGCTTGAGCTAGTTTTCCTAGTATCTAACCTGAATGGATCTTCTACTTGGATTGCCGTGAGCCACTCTACAGTGGGTTCATCCCACTTACTACTGAGCATCCTGCCCTGCACTCCAGTTACAGGGCACAGGATGTGCCATCCTTCCTGCTTAATGCCAGCCCTGTACCACTGAAGGCCTCAAGCTTTCCCACCACTTTGGGAATGCCCTTTCTCATCTTGAGTCTTTGCGGGGATGATGGTGCACAGAGGGTGGTGAAGCCCTGGAACAGGTTGCCCAAGGAGGTCAACCCAGGCCATTCAATCATTCTTGTGAAGATGACAGCCAAACCACTCTCTATTGCAGTGCTTTCCCCAGCTTTAAACATATTTGGAAAAGCAGGGTGACGTTTTATACCATGCCATCATTACTGGCTGTATTGCTTATAGCTGAACAGAACAAGCTCTCACTGAGCCCAGCCCTGCCTGGGAAGATCAGAGTGCATCTCTCCATCCACCCAGACCAGCCAAGGTTCTCCCAGTGTAAGGCAGCAGATGGCTTCTTGATGGTACTAACCAGTCTGCTCCGTGCACCACAGCCAGACTCAGCGGCCCTGTGGACACTTGGGGGCATTTGGGTTATTACTCAAAGGTTGACAGAGGCAATACATCTCCCGTTAATGGAGGCAAGCACAATGCAATTCATAAGCAAAAAAAATGAACCTAAGCAGGAAAGGAAGAAAATTAAAAAGCCATTGGCCTGATGAATATGTATCTGCTAACAACGGTGCAGTTTTCTAGCTGAGCAAGTTTAGCTGACTTTGGGATTTGAGAAACTCTACTGTGAGTACATCTGTGATAGAAATAGAGCTGGCACTGGGCTGGAGCACAGCCCCAGCAATATCACACAGAGGCAGCAGCAGGGAGAGCATGACAGTGCATGGGGACCTGAGTGCAGGGCCAGCAAGTAGGGACAGCTCAGAAACAGGGCTGGGAGCCACTGCAGCTACAGAAGGGAAGCTTCATGGAGAGCTTCGTAACAGATGTATTTCAGCAAATCCCAGCTCCCTGCTTTGCAGCACGCAGAAGTGGAGGCACAGCAAGGATCTTGCCCACAGCACAGCTCATCCCAACTCCTGTGGTGCAACCAACGCTCCTCTTGGGGTGGTGATGACCTTCAGCTTCCCAAAAAGCGGTCCCAGGGTCCGCAAGGAAAAAGGGCCGACTCTTCAAGGCTGTAACGCTCAGGTGCTTAGGAGAACACTGGGTGATAGCCTGAGGCCTCCTATAGGTTATCCTGTATCTTAAGGACGTGGTTTAGTGCACATCAAGGGGATGGACTGATGGTTGGACCGGATCATCTGAGTAGTCTTTTCCAACCTTAATGATGCTCTATCCAAGCTGGAGATCTAAAGCTGAGCTGCAGTCCAACCATCAACCCATCCCCATCATGCCCACCAAACCACATCCTTAAGACACAGGATAACCTATACAAAGCTTTGGGCAATGTTTTCCACCAACCCTAAACCCTGACTTTTGTGTCAAAGGCAGGCAATGAGGACAGCCCCTCATGGTCTGCTTTGGGGTCCCTGCTACACACCAGAGGAGTGCTGGCCCCAGAAAGCACAGGTGCATGCCATCCCCCAGCCCTGGGCTGTGTTTGCAGAGGTGCTCCCTGCAGCTCAGTACCTGTTGGAGGAATCCCTATGGATCTTCTCAACTTTGGACCAACCTTCCTAGGGATCTGAAGCAACAATGCCCACACTTACTTGGTTCTCAGGGCTCATTTTCTCTTGCCCTGAACAGGAAAAAGAATATACCACATGGGGTGGGTAGGAGCCATGCTAGAGAGGGAAACCGCCTTATTCCTGAATTGCCACTGGGAGCCATTGTAGCTACAGCAGTGGGAACTTCCTAAAAGGCATCAGTGTCAGACTGTAGAGTCTGATTCCAACTCCTATGGATAAGATACCACTTCTATGCACCAGCACAGCTCTGCAATAGTTCTAATGCAGCATTGCCAGTGGAGCCTTGCATTCATCCAGCACTAGAAAGCCAGAACGAGCTGTTAAAAGGCTCAGACTCCTGAGCTGAAGTCACTCTTCTGCAGGATTCCATGCATTTGCATGGAAAACTTCTAGCAGCCCGCCCCTGTCAGATGGGCAGATTGACTCAAAGATTGGAGGGCAAGAAGAAATTACCAGTTACATTTTATTCTACTGTTCCATAACTAAAACAAATCCCTTTAAGACGGGCATAACTATTCTGGGAAATTCTGGTCATTTCTCCATTCATTACTGCTGTATGTCAGACTATAAAGCTAGAAAATATTATGAGTTATTTCTCCCGGGAAATTAAAGTAGGCTGTGGAAGAGGTTCCTCACCATGTTCCTGCTACCCCAAGGGAGAAGAATGGCTGCTGGTTAAAAGGAATATGCTTCATCACCCGCCCTTTGAGGTTGGTGTGTGAGATTCAAGCCCCCAGCAGTGAGCAGCAAGTGGGACAGGGCAGGGAGAACTGCCATGGATGCCATCCAGGATAGAAACCCAACACGAGGTGCTGAGAATGTGATACTGCAATGCTGCTGGCATTACATCAGCCCTGGACAGACTGCAAGGATTGGGTGGATGGTGCAGCACAAAAGATGCAGTGGACACTGAACTGAAGATCATGGAAACAGCAGCACTCAATCATAGATTTGTTAAGGTCGGAAAGACCCCCAAGATCCCCTAGTGCAACCATCCACCCATGCCTGTGAGAGCTCTAGACCTCTATGCCCCTCAGTGCCACATCCAATATGGTTCTTGACCACTTCCAAGGGCAGTGACAACCCCCATTCCCTGGCCAGCTTTAGTGCCCCACCACTCTCCTGGAGAAGAATTTTTCCCCCTTATCCAACCTGCCCAAGGTCCCATTATCCAACCATCCAAGTTGCCCAGTGCAACTTGGGGTCATCACCTCTTGTCCGACTGCTAGTGAAACGATGCCCACGGTGCACCCTGCTAGTTCAGGGCACCGATGGCAATAGCAGTGCCATTGCTCACATCTGCCTCTGGCCATAAGCAACCAAACCCACACGGCGCTGTGGGATGGACCAGGGCTTCCAGATGAGATGGTGGAGCACTCTTCTGCCAAGAGTGCTGTGCAGTGAGCTCTGCTGTGGATGCTTCCCAGCTGCAGGATCCCCCACACCCACAACTCTGCAATCCAGGGATCTCTCAGAGCTCACATGCAACACCAAGGGATCACTCCTCGTAACAGGACAGTGACGACTTGTCAAGGGCAGTGAGACAGTAACAAATCTGCATCCTTCCCACCCATTGGTTTCCATTTCCAAAGAGTCAGCTCCCACGTGATTACAGCTTGGCTGTGGTGGAGAGAATGCAGCAAAAAGAAAGGGCTGTGCCCTGTGGTAGCCACCTGGGCTTCCAGCACAGCTGCTTCTGCTGACAAGACCCTGTGCATTTGCAAAAATAAATTAAACTGACTTGGAGATGCGCTTAGAAAGTCAGAGTTGCATAACAGCTTGTTTCCCACAGGCTTGGACGGCTGCTCAAAATGTTTACGGTCACGTGGTAGCTCCAAAATCACTGCCTTCTCTTCTTTTTTTGTTGTTATTATTTTTCCATCAGCGAGTTAACCCTGCGTGGACTGAAGTGATCTGCTGCAGCTTCTACAGATGGCAGCAAATCTTCTGCACAAGGTCTGCAAAGCCATCCTGCCCAGAAAGGTCACGAGGCTGCTATGGCACCAACAGCTTCCTGACCTCTGCAAACAGTCTGAGGGTAAAAAACATGAATTCATCCATCGATCAGTCCCTTGTCACAAGGGTCTGATCATTTCCACCAGGTGCTCTCAGGCACCATGGGTGATGTTTGGGAGGAAGGGAAGCAGAGACTAACATTGGTCAGCTAAGGCACCAAGGTCCCATCTTTGGGTGGAATTTGCATGACAGAGCACAAAGGGCATCTATCAAAGCAGAAGGGCACGGAGCCATCACTGGAGGGAAGGTTATGGAAGTGAACAGTGATAGCTTTTCTGATTCTGCCATCTGATAAAGAGGAGAACGTATTTATTTGTTGAGAAGGAACCCTCGTGCCAGGCAGGGGGACAGAAAGACAGGAGCACAACTCTGAACTGATTGTTCCATAACTAAAGGAAGTCAGAAGATGGGTGATGCTGGAAACACCTCCCTCCAGACCTGAGCCCTGGGATGTGCTCCAAACACTGCTCCATGCACCACGGGGTGCTCTGGTTGATTGAAACAAACTGGAGTTTTGCTTAAATACGCAGAAAATCAAAAATACTTCCGTACCTACGTGCAATAAAAAGCCTATTTCAACCTGCCAGTCTTATGTCCAGCTCACAGGTGACTTCACATAGGAGACACAGACATGGTGCAAATCCAGACTACAGGAAGGGATTGGTTTTTCCGTGATTAAACCTGAGTTTGGCCTCCTTTTGTTTTGTTGGGGGCAGGGTTAATAGGTGAACTGACAGTGCTATAAACGTCCTTTGTTAACTCCTTTGTAGTGTAAGTAAGATGTGCCCAAACTGATCTCTCTGCAAGCTCCAAGCACGTTTCAGACAGGTGCACAGAGGAGAGGAACTCACAGTCAGCAAACAACAGCAGACCACATGTGGCCCATACGCTAGCAAAAAGCCCTCAAACGCAGAGCTGAGTGGAAGTTACTCCCACCTCCATTCCCCAGCAGGGAAAGCCAAGCTGTGCCATGGGGGCAACGCAGGCTGCATTGGAGGAAGAACAGGAGGCAGGTCTCAGGTGCTGCTTACCACTGGCTCGATGGCAAAGATGTCATCGGAGAAGAGCATGGAGTCTCCCTGCACTTTTGCACGGTGGTTCTGGAAGACACGGGAGAGGATGGAGAGGCGTTCCCGCAGAGAGGGATCCACCATGCACTCATCAGCAAAGCGATCCATCTCGTCCTCCTCCTGCCTCCGCAGCCTGTGACACAGCCTGGAGCCACGGGGAGAGACAAACCAAGCGGATAATTGGATAAGCAACACATTTGCAGAGGCTGCCGTGTAAAAGGAGGGCCGGCAACGTGCTCAGTGGGGAGCAGCAGCTGCAGCACAGCAAGGGGCTCACCCAGAGCCCGAGGTCCCACATGGATCATGTCATCACCACCCATTCACCAGCATGGCGGGGCGCTTTGCTCCTTCCTTGCAAGCTAAGAATGTGTTTTTGAAAGCTAACACCCCTCAAAAGAGCTCCTGGCCCAAAGCTGCCAACCGATGGAGCGTCCATCCATCACCTCAGATGGCCTCTGCCACCCACAGAGCTGCTCACGGGGACGCAGAGAACAGAAATACCAAGGGGCAACCACTGCAGTGCTTTCCTCTGGAAAGGGTTGGGGAGGGGGAAGAGGTTGGATCTCAGCTGCATTTCCCCAGCATCAGCCTTTTTCTTTCCCCACTGGAGCACTGCACAGTATCTGCTTCTGGTCCCTGTAGGTCTCTCCATGATAGGTCTCCCACCACTTTAAAAGTAAGCTCATGGACTTGGACATCACATCACCTCAGCGAAATTGGTGGTTTTATACCCATAAAAACAGAGTGGAAGAGACTTCACTGAGTATTCCCAATAAATAAGTCAGAACCAGTACCTCTGAATTCAGACCCTCAAGGCTAGCCTTGAACAATCTCATTTTCTCCCTTCTTCTGGGCTCTTCCAGCAGAACCTCAATCCTCTCTCCCCACGCCAGTAGCCACAGCCAAAATAATTCTGGTGCTCAAAGATCACAACAAAGAGATGAGAAGAGAGAACTGTGGCTTGTTATGTTGCTGTCCCCCTTCACACAACAGTCCTCAGCCACAAAGACCCAGCAGGTCACAGCTCCAGAGGAGTGGGTGGAAGGCTCCATATGCAGCAAATTGAGGTGACGTAGAAAGAAAAGGATAGCAGTCATCACCCAGCTAAATTCAAATGCAATTAGAAAGGAAATACAGTCACAGCCGTTACTGGCTGCACACAGACAGAGCCTCAGGCAAATGCTGTCACCAGTGCCAAAAATACTTGCTTTGGCTAGCTCCCCATAGTGTAATAGGAAATCTTTCTCCATGGCTGACCTACAAAGCAGTGGATTAGGAAAGGTCACTGAGGTGAGCGAGCCTGAGCCCAGACTCCGTCCATGGGCATCCCAGGAAGTCCTCCAGGAGGGGGACAGAGCAGAACCCTGACATCCCTAATGATCCACACCATTTAGGGTCACATCCAAGCACAGGGTCCTGCTCTGCTTTTCCCCATGAAGAACTGTTCTGAGACCTCAAGGGCTTCTCTTACGTTGGGTTGTCTCTTCCTTGAGTGCAAAAACACAGACTTACCTGGTGTGGGCTCCAAGTTGAACATCTTGGGGCACCCAAGCATGCATGCACAACCCAAGCACACTCATGTTTATTATGGAGGTTCCTTTATCTGTCAATTTACCCAGCCACCGTGAAGGCACCTTTTGTAGGATCCCCACCCTGTGAGTGCCCACCAAGGTGCAAGGCAAAGCAGCAGATGTGGGCACACGGGGCACAAAGATGCAGCAGAGTTACTGGCTTCCCATAATTTCAAGCCCAAATGAATTATTTGAAGAGGAGGTCTCAGTAGCCCTAACTCCAACATCGTTGTGCTCTCAATTTGCAGGTTCAGTTCTGGAGCTTCCTGTGCAAAGCTCAATTGTTGTGCATAGATGCTGCTGCCTCGAGGAACCAAGCATGCTCCTTGTGGACAAAGGTGACTGATTCCTGGACAGAAGTACAGAGCTTTGGGCATCATGGAAGGTTCAGATTCACATCCCAGGATGGGCAGCCCCAGCAAACAGGAAGAGAATGGCATTGTGTGCATCAAGAGGGTGACAGCAGGGCTCCAGCATTGGAGTTAGGATGCTTCCAAGGGCCTGCAGCACGGAAGACCAGAATGCTCTGGCCAAAGCCCAGTTCGCAAACTGGCATGACATCAGATGTGACTGGGGGGAAAAAAATCAGGTGGAAGTTAACTGTGAGGAAACCTGGTTGCCTTGGATGACTGAGGGTTCAATGTGAGACGGGCAGGTGGGAAGAGATGCTGAAGGAATCGTTTGGGGAAGCACCAAGAGAAAGTCACAAGGTTTCTTTTAACACATTGAGCTTGCACAGAAGTCACACGCTGTGTAATTAAAAATAGAGAACAGTGGAAAACTAGCTTTGGCCTTCAAGGCATTTCTGACCTAATTATGTTGAACTTTATTTGCTCAGAAGCCCTTAAAAAGTGCTCCAGTTTAAGGCAGTTTCCCAATCAGCTGTGGGTTCGGAGCAACTCCAATGTACCTACATCCATCCAAGTCTGGAAAGTCACACAATTCCCTAAATCGCTCAGGCTTTTAAGTGTAATTGCAAATTCATCATCCCCCAGGCTGTGTTTCTTTGCTGCCTAAGACTGAAATCTCACAGCTTCACCAAAGACACTCCTCGAAGGACCTGTCCAACCCTTGGCCCTTCCAGCATCATCAGCACTACCTGTCCCACCTCTCACTGCCACACACATGCACAGAGCAGGAACCCAGAGGCACTTCCAAGCCCCATCTTCCCTCCTCCCCAGAGCTCTCTCCAGCCTCTAAAGACAGGCAGAAGAATCTTATTGTGCTGGGAAGGGCAAAACTACTCGATGCCCCACAGCAGGAGCCTGCTGGGCCAACAAAGAGCTCTACAACACCTTCCTATCAAAGCTGGAGTGAAGGCACTGCAGTGGGTTTATAATAACATTGCTGAATATAGCATAGCTAAGTGCTGCTTCTCAGTGCAGTCCTCAGCCTTGTGGACCCTCTGTATCCCCAGGATTCTGAGATCTCATGGGTTTGTGCTCCCATAGAGCATGGAATTGCAATGTGAGGAAATGCAGTCATTGCAATCGATATCTCCTCCCCAAATGAGCATCCCCAAACAGAATAAAGGCCAAAAATGGAACAGGAAGAACGGGGCTGCATTACCCTGAAGCTCACACATCTTGATGCTTTCGATGGTTTCCTCATCCTAGGACATTCAAAACCACCAATGCCACTTGAAGCCACGCACGGGCTATACCCCTGGCAGAGCATCACCCTGAAATGAACCGCTCACACCAACCTCAGCTTCTGCTGATCCTCCTCTTCCTGAGTAACAAAAGCCTTCCACTGGAAGTGGGCTATGATCTCACTCCGGTTGTGGATGACTACAGATCTGTGGTTTGCCAGCGTGAGGTAAGTCTTTGCAATCATCAAGGAGTTCCTGTCCAGCCTGATGTTGACATCCACCGCCGCTCCATACAAGCTTGTGAGAACATCTTCGCCTGGAATATAGCAAAAGAGAGCCTTCACTCAGCTCATTTGCTGGTGGAAGCACAAGGAACAGAGCAAAGCACTGCTAACAACAATTAGCAACAGCTTTTAGCTGGATTGACAGTTTTCAGTCCCTTCTTGTTGACAAGAAAGATGCACGGGGGCCAAAGGGATGTTCAGAGGAACAAGTAAAGCCTACAGCAGAATGGGATGCAGGTGAGAACAGAGGTGTAGAAGCTGTGCCCAGCCTTGCTGTGTTTTGTGAAGATGTCTTAAAGGCTGCCACGTAGCAACACAAGGGCAGAGCTGGACGTGTGCTGGATGGACTCAATAAATCCTACCATAACACAACAGCAATTGCCCACCACACATCCAGCCATAACGCAGTAGAATGGTGTTGATTCCGGGAAAAGAGACCCCCTTCTTCTTGGGGAATGAAGCCAGATTCATCCTTCAAATCACAAATCTCTACGGTCATCCATCCGTCCCACCCCACGCTGAGGAATTCAGCCTTCAAGTCTTTTAAGGGTGTTACAATGGTGGGCATTCAAGTTACACTGTGAGAGAACCAGCAACTTTTCCAAGGAGCAGACAGTCCTTTTTGTATAAGGGATTATATCACAATGGATGATTTATCACATATAAAGAAGTTTAGAAGAGTCAGATCATTGCCCTTCCTCTTCAATGAGTACATGGCAGAGTCAACCAGAGGAGCCCTGACCCAAGAAATCATAGAATGGTACAATTTCTCATAAGACAAGAATCTGAGATAACGTTCTCTGAAGTTACACTGAGCAAACAGCAGCGCTTTTATCAAGGAATAATCTGTTCATTCGTTCGGAACGCATCGCCATAGGATGGAGGCTCACAGCTCTACATCCAAACAGCACCTGGGCACATTCTCAGGAGACAAAACCATCAGCAGCTACTAAACAAAGATGAGACAGAAGCCTCCAGCCCTGAGAACTGCCAGCCCCAGGGGGGAACACAGCATATGCACACGTCCATGCTCTGCACAGCATCCCCTGCTGCTGCTCTTGGGGCAAGCCACTCTGCTCTACTGTAACATCCCCTGGACTTACTGGCCCTACCACTATTTACAGAACACTGCCTTATTCCAGGCTGTCATTTCCCTCCTCCTTGCACGCTTTGGATACGCTTTGGACAGAAAGAACAAGACAGCCCATCTTCTGCAACCTCAACAAAGCGATGCCTGAAATGGAAATCGAGAGCTGGGTTTATGCACCCTTGCAGCAGATGCTTTGGGTTGTGCACTTCTGAAACACGCACACTAAAACAGCAGAAACACTGCTGTTTTACTCCAGCATTCATTGCACGTGCAGGCACCTTCACACATCGTGAGCTTTTGTAATCTCAAGACAGGAATCTAGCAGTGGGCCATCCTTCCTGGACCCTTTTTCTGCAGGAAAGAGTTAAAAAAGAGGAGATTTAGAAAAGCCAAAGCACCTTTCAGAATTCTTCTCCTACTACACGAGCTGCATATTGCACAAGAGGGAATAGTTTCCAGAGAAGCACAAATTGCTCTGAAATAGAACGACGAGTTTTGTTTAGCCTGGAAGTACATCTCAATGAATGGATGAAGGAATTCTTAAACAAGATTTCAAAACAAATTTAGGGTTTTATGAAGAATGCTTTCCTACCAATCACAGCTGGCACTTTCCCCTCTGTTGATCACTGCTCTATTAAGGAAGCTGGAAACAAGACAAATATCCTGCTGCATCCCCTCACCTCTTCTAGGGGAGCCCACAGCCAGCCCTGGAATAGCTGGGTAGCACAGAAAGCAAGTTAATTTTCATTCACTCAGCTTGTCAGAAGGTTGTCTTGCTCTCACTTCTGCTGTAAACACAGTCAAGGAGACAGCTTCTGCCAATATATCAGCAGAAACACAAGAAAAATAAAGCCAAGCCCTTTGCTCAGAGGGCGTTATTGTAGCTCCGGATTGATCTGGGATAAATAATTCTCCTGCTTCTGTCACATGGACACAGCATATTGCTGTTCCTTCCAGCCAGCTCATGGCAACAAGAGGATTCTGCCCCAGATGCAAGCAGCTCTGAGACAGAAATGGGGGCAGGCAGAAAGCAACGACTGCTTGGCAATGGCCAGCGTGGCACCTGTGACCTCTCCATTGAGCAACACGGGCTCCTCTTGCATTGAAGTTGGAAAAGACCTCTAAGCCCACCAAACCCAACCCCAGCCCACCCCCACCGTGCCCACGTCCCTCAGTGCCACATCCCCACAGCTCTGGGGCACCTCCAGGGTCGGTGACTCCTCCCCACCCCTGGGCAGCTGTGCCACTGCCTCACCGCTCTCTTGGAGTAGAAATTGCTCCTAATATCCAACCCGAGCCTCCTCTGGGGCAATTTGAGGCCGTTTCCTAATCCAGCTCCCCACACCAAGCCTAGGAAGCTGCTCCTGCCTTGGAACAATGCCACGGTTGCAATAGCAGGGATTTGTGAGGGGGTGTTTGAGTATGGATGCAGCACAAACGTTGGTAGCCCTTCCCCTGCCAAGGAGGGACCACCTGTCCCCATTCACAAAGCCCTCATGAGGGGCAAAGGTTTGAAAGAGGCAGGACACCCTTATCCGAATCAGAATAAAAAAAGTCATTACTGAGAGCAGTTCTAGAAAAGGGGAATGATGACAGAAACCATTTGCTAGCTGTTTCAACATAAGTAAGCACTCTGGGGAAAAATTAGACCCCCTCACTCTCATTGATCTGAGCAATAAGAGCCCATAACCGTGCAGCTGTATGGGGTATTAGTTACCAGCCCTCGGTCTGGTGCAGCGCTGCCACTATCAACACAGAGCTACATTAACTTCACACCTCATTTGCTTCCAAAAATCACCTCCCTCTGCTCACCTACCTCCCAGGCACCGCGAGGCAGGCAGGCAAGGCTATAAATCAGGCAGGAACCAGGCAAAGTGCTGGGAATTCTCATCGGTGGAGGAAGGAAAGCACTCCATGCACCACCAGCTTTTTCACCCAGCAGCCCACTGTCCCCACGTTTTTCCCCTCTGTTTGTCACCCAAGATGACCACAACTCATGGTCTGCATGAATTTGCATGGCTAGATCAATGCTGGATGGATCCCAACCCCTTCTGAGGACAAAGGAACTTTTCAAGGGACCAAAAATAAGTTGTTGTAAGAGGCAGTGAGTTTGCTCAGAGAAGCAGCACGCTGCTCCATCCTGGCTGCAGTTAGGACAAATGAGAGCGTTCTGCCTTGAGTGATGTCAGGAATGTGAAGCACAGGGAGGGCTGAGCCTCAGCTAAACCCTACTGCCTGTTCACATCAATCAGTGGGTAGAAGAAAAAAAAAAAGAGAAAGGCAAAGGTTTGCTCTACAGACTGAATCAATAGGATTTTCATTTCATTCTCAAACAAGTTCCTGGAAGCCACCAATTGCAATTCCAAGATGAATGACAAGACCCTTGGTGGAAAGGAGGCTCTTAAGGGAAGAAAACAGCTGTACAGAGACAGTTGACCCCTCCAAAGCCTACCTGAGCACAGATGGAGATGACAGGAGGGCAGTGCTGTTATCTGATGCTTTATCCTTGCTGGTAGCTGTGATTCAGGGGTGCTGGCAGACCCATTCACTCGTTTAGCCTCAAGCAGCAATTAAAATAAAGCAGGCTGAGATTCAACAAAGTTTCCTGCGTGGTTACAGCCATCACCAGCACACCACAAAGCCTTTGTTGTGCATTTACCAGCACGGGTAAAACTGGTGCTGGACAAATTCAGCATCCCAAAGCGATGGAATTCACAGCCCCCAGCTGAGCAGAAGCAGAACAACCAGGGCTGCAGCTGACAGCTCCTCCTTGCTAACGCTGGTGGGACCCGGCCTCTATAACACCACTGATGCACACTTTGTTTCCTCGCAGTCACTGCTCTCTGTAGCCACCCGCCACCCCCACCAGACCCCAATGTCTCTATCTGTCCGATCCCATGGTGCTGTCACTCCGTGGGTGACCGAAGAGCTCCACGTCAGCTCCTTAATTCCTTATGGTTAAACACGCCTTTAAATCCCCCTCTGATCTCATAGCTCCCATTTGAGATGAAAAACCCATTTTCTTTGCTAGGACACGGGGCTCCAGAGCCCCATCTGTGTGTCACTTCATCCACTTGCAACAGGGAAAACCCACAGGCCACAACAACCCAACGCAGCAGAAACTCACCCAATCTGGTTGACAACTGCAGAGCTGCAGGCGGATGCTGCTGGCACCTTCCACCTGCCCTTGTTGCAATTACTCAAGGAGCTGAGCTCTCCCCTCTTTGCTCTGAGCATGCAGAGCCCAAGGAGCACAGTGAGCCAGAGTCTGGCCCTTAGCAAACAAGCTGAGATCTGCTTTAGGATGGGGCTCTTGCTCAGGGACTGCAAGCCTGCACCTCATCCCAGGGAGCTGCTTGCTGGAGCTCTGCACCAGAGCAGGAAGGACAATAACAGGAGCAGGAAGAGCAGACGTTCCTGCTTGAGGACTGGCTCAGCTTGGATACCTCTCCTAAAATTCACCACCTCTGATCTCTCCCCTCAAACATCCTGCCCCCAGGCTTCTGCATCACAGTCTCACAGAGGAAGGAAAAACGATCTGCAAATTACTTTTATCACTGACAGCAATAAAAGCATCTCAGTACGGAGTGTCTGTCAGCTCTGCACAAGCTCAGTGGGGCTTTGCTAATTACTGAAGCTTCCTGTGCTGACAAAAGGATCCCTAGGGATGCGGTGGCCAATGGGAAAATTAAAAAAAAAAAAACAGTTGTACAGAGTCATTTCAGAGCTGCACAAGTCCTCTGAGGCTCACAGGTGCTACAAACAGCCAAGCAGAAACCCAGAATGGGGACCCACAGCTTGGAGATCACCCCTTGTATCATACCACAGTGCTTCTTGGAGTGCAATGGGAGGCAGGATTGTAGGGAGAAGAGAAGGGCTTCTCCTTTCACACTTCCCAGTGCTTCTCCAGCACCTCCTTTCTACAGCCAGCCCATCTCTGGTCACTGCAATAAAGCATCTGACAGACGTCGTGAGACTGGCAAATCAGTTTTCCACCTCTGTCACAGCTCTGGGAACCCATCACGCATTCCAGAGCCTGAGCATCCTCTCACTGATCTCGTGTTACATTGTTCATATGCATCCTGGGCACACTTGAGAACTGCTTGAGCACTAAAAGAATAACTAAGCTTTATAGACTGGGGCTCAGTTGAGTCTGATTTCAAATCCACTGATTTTGTTTTCCCATATCCACATAGTGTGGGCTGGGAGTCACCCAGGAGGACCCAAGGCACCAGCCACACTCTGTGGTGCCACATGCAGGATCCCTCCCCAGCAGGAATGCTTACCAGGCTGGGATCACCAGCTCTTTCTCACACCACCACCTGATGCCATTGTGACAAACAGGGATGTGCAGCAGCCCAGAACACCTCAAGCCCCCTCCACTTCAGTGCAGGCTGGGACTTCACGCATACAGACACACAGACATGGGGGACGTGGAGCTGTACGTACATGCAGAGCATCAAGGCCAGATTTTCACTACATAGACATTTCCTTCACGCTTCTCTGAAAGATTTCCAACAAAAGCATAACCCAAACTCTGCAAAAACTGCACAGCATGCACCCAATCCTACAAATCAACCAAGTGACCCACGGAGAACCACCACCACTCACAAGCCAGCAAGTCCATACAGACACAGCCATGCCAGCACAGTGCCCACTGTCCTAAGCTGCTATTTTGCTCTGAGTGCTTGTTTCATAACTAAGTCTGGTGGCAGCTCTGCAGGAGCAGCACGGCTGCTTTCTGTATGCAGGTCGTGGTGCTGGCCAAATCAGCCCAGCCCCATTGTGAGGCTGCAGCTCTGCACCACCCCTGCAATGAGCAGCTTTGGAGAATGACTGATTAAATGTTTCAGTTTCACTTCAACAATCCAACTCTGCAGCATTTTACTTGTTTGTATGCTGCCAAGCTAGGCAGATAATCTTTTTATTATTCCTTTGCTCACCTCCTCGATCTGTAGTTTACTTAAAAATAACTGTAGCGCCGTGCTGAGAGGCAGAGGGGAGATCATGGGCTCAGCCCCAGGTAGGTGGCACCTGGCCCTGGGATGTCACCCACCCCACAGCAAGCAGCTGCACACACTTCACCACTTTGGGACAGGTCAACCAACCAACCACTTCGGGGCCAACATGCTTCAGCCCTGTAAGAACAAACCTCAGGGTTTTCAGAGCAGACCGTGAAAGTCCTTCTGTCTTTCACTCCAATATGGGGAGGGAAGCGAGCTGCTAGGAAGAAAAGGAATGATGGAACCTCTGTAGTGTGTGGGAAGCGTGTTGACACGGTCTGCCAGGAATGCAGTGGGACACAGAGAGATAGGGCACAGAAGGACAGACTCAGCCCACGCCGTTACTTCATAGAATGAAATCACAGAATCATTTGAGGTGGAAGGGACTCATAAAGGTCATCTTTGAGCTGCGCCAGGGGAGATTCAGGCTGGACATCAGGAAATGCTACTTCTCTGTAAGAGTGCTCAGGAATGGGTTGCCCACAGAGGCGGTGGAGTCACTGGAAGTGTTCAAGGAACGTTTGGGTGTTGTGTTGAGGGACGTGGTTCAGTGAGAACTGTTGGTGATGGGCGGATGGTTGGACTGGATGCTCTTGAAGGTCTTTTCCAACCTTGGCGATTCTGTTGCCCAGCACTCACCTGTGTCATAGTGAACCACCAGGGACCCGCCGTGGTCCCCAGTCTTCAGTGGGTGGAACTCCACTGTTACTTGCATGGTGTCACCAATCCCAAGGGTCCCAACGGAAGGATCAACAGAGAAAGGGCTGCAATGCAAAGAGAGGCGTCAGAGAGATTACAGTAGCTTTAGAGATAACAATCCCTGCCAGGGTCTAAGGCTATTCCACTTCACCTCACCAAGCAGATAAAACACACCTGCAGAGTAAAGAACAGAATACATAGGATCAGACAGGCAGAATTTGTAGGATCAGACAGATCCCCACTTCTGAAGAGATTCAGCCCTCAGAAGACTACATGGTGCAAAGTGACCTCTTCTCCCCCATATTCTGCATCCAGCTCTTCCTCTCTGCAGTGTCTCAGGAGTCAGACTGCTAGCAACTCAATCAGAGAACTGTTTTTGAACAGCAGAGCCCAAAACTGCTATTTGCATGCAAAGCTGACCCCAATTTCCTCACGTCTATCTTACCCAGCCACCTTCAAACCTCACCTCAAGAGAGGCAAATGTCAAAGCAAGGCCTGTTCCAAGGAGATTACAGGCTAGAATCAGACAAAGGAATAAGTCTTCCTAGAAGACCAGAGAATAATTATGCATTAATTTGCAGAATTCAGCCTTTTTACTTTGAAAGTAACCTGTTTTAACCTAAGGAAGGGCACGTTATATCAACCACTCAATGAAAGCTGCTCTAAGAAAAGGAACAACAAGGAAAAGTATGTGTGCAAACATAGATCAGAATGAAGCCACAGAGACAAGACAGCAGCAAAAGGACCATGCCATTCTAAGCCTGAAGGATTCCATCAAGCATCAGTAACAGGAGCCTATCAGTGGGGGTTTAACAGTTTGATGCATTCACAAGCCACAGTTTGTGACTCTGGGTTGTAATCCAAGCTTGGTAACCATTTGCTTGGCCCACCAGACAAACTCATAGAACCACAGAATCATCAAGGTTGGAAAAAACCTCTTGGATCACCAAGTCTGAAGCAGCCCACCCCCACCATGCCCACTGACCACATCCCTCAGTGCCACATCTCCGTGGTTCTTGGCCACCTCCAGGGATGGTGACTTTCCCAGCCCCCTGAGCAGCCTATGCCAAAGCCCAAATTGCATACAACGAGCTGTAAATAATTATTAAAGCATGTTGGTACACTTTGGGTTTACCACATTTGTGGTGTGTCACCGGGCAAACAGCCGTTGGCTGCCAGCTGCAGAACTCTACCTTCACGCTAAGGGAGAAGCCAGATGAAGTGTGGCAACTTGGCTTCATGGTTCTTGCACAGCCCCACTCAAAAGACAGAAGTTTTGTGTTCAGCACTGTGCTGGTCATCAAATTATCACCTCCAAAATTTGCTCTGCAGAGCTTTAACCATGATTAGAGAAATGCAGAGCACACGAAAATAATGAGAACTGGAGACACGCACAAGCTGAACTTTGTTCATCTGAGTAGCGACAGCTGATAAAATTGCTGGAGTTTCTGCTCATTAATGAGATAGAGCAGCAATTAGTGGTCTGACCTGTTCCCATTATGCTTGGAGCATTGCTGCTGGCTCTAGCAGGAGCAGCAGTGAGCCCATAGCACCCGCACACTGACAGGAGACCTCAGCCTCCTCCCAGGACAGAGCTCACTCCACTGCAGCTGAGCAGGAGGATCTCATCTCCAGCAAGATCTTCCCAGTCACCCCAAAAGGTTCCTCAGGGACACAGTTTGTTCCTTCCACCAAAGCACACGGACCAGCTCCTCAAGCCCTGTTAATGGCAGCTGCCTGCTAGGAAGGGATTCAGGTATCAGCATTACTGAGAAGTCACACAATCATAGGATCATTAAGGCTGAAAAGGACCTCTCAGATTCCCAAATCCAACCCCAGACCCACCCTCACCATGCCCACATCCCTCAGTGCCACATCTCCATGGGTCTTGAACACCTCCAGGCTGCCTGGGACAGAGCTGGTGCTTGAATGTGACCTCCAGGGTAGCAAAGGAAAACTCTTCCCTCCCAGCTCAGATGATCTGCTAACGAAGGGGATTCCCCACCCCCCAGTACCACCTCCTGCTCTATCTCCCCACTCCCCTCCAGCGCTGGCTGGGATGGAGCAACCCTGCACCTCCCACATCCTACCCCAAACCCTCCCATCACCCCTCACTACATCAGGACACAAAAGATGCAAAAGCCCCACAGCTAAACTTAGTTCCCCAAACTTCTGTCAAGGCAGCTAAGCCGTCCTCTGCATCCCTCAGATAAGAAATGGTAAGAGACATCCCTGATGCATTGTAATAGCCAAGTGAAAGCTATTGCCAAGAACGGAAGCTGGCAGCCTAAACCTTGGCCTTTTATCCATTAATTGTCATTTAATTGTGAGCTGTTCTTTAAAGATAATTCTGGTCCTGCTAGATCTGCCCTTCTAATGAATCACCACCCTCCCAAAAGATGGGAAATCTTTCAGAAGATAAGCTTTGTGGTTTCTTCTTTAATAGCTGGCTTTCTTCTGACATCCTCTTTAAAACGATGCCCGTTTGGATGTTTGCTTTGGTGTACGACATCAAAACTTCTGCAGGCCCTGCTCTGTAATATCCCAGTGGTGCCTTGCAAGCACAGCCAGATCCTCAGCTCACACGTTATTCAGCCACACCAATTTGGAAGAGGTCTTCTCAACGGTAACCACTCAGATCTCATCTATTACTGCCCTTTGGAAAGTGTTTGATGCTAGAGAAAAGCTGTCAACTGCTTGCCTCAGGTTTCCACGCCCCCTTTTCTCCTACAGACAGTGTGCAAGAAGCTCCAACTTCAAGTCCCATGGCACTCTCCCCTCCTACAACCAAACACGTTTCCTCTTCAGCCTTAATCTGCATTTTAAGAACAATTTGGTGTGGGGGAAAAAAAACAGTCAGTTTTCAGCCTTCTGTTTGATTGCATCAAAATCTGGCTCCTGCTCCAAAGACAACAATCAAATCTACAGGTGGTTGAATTGCCTCATTTGTCCATTAAGACCCTTTGCAGGAAAACCACAGAGATCAGCTCATCTCAGCACATATTAACTTTAGTAATAGTACAGCAGCCAAAGTCAAGCTTGTAGCTGTTCCAGCAAGCTGAGCCTGTTGGATCTTGGAAGCATCCAAGGCTCAAGACGACGACAATTTCTCCGTGCTGAGAAGTCCTGTGCAGGATCAGCAGCTCACAGTTCCATCTTTCTGCTCTTTCACTGCTTCTGCCCTCCATGTTCACGTCCTTTCATGGTCTTCATAGCCTACAATATACATCTATACATGCACGTATACATGCACGGCCCATGATCTGCTTCCAAACGCCGTTTTAAATGTAGTGGAACGACATTTATATCCCTGAATACCAGAGAAGAAACCCATTATTGCGCCTTAACCATGAGGAGAGGCTGAGAAACTTTGTGTGCTTATAGTGCTATTATTTATTATCAAACTTTGCAAGAAGAGGGAACACAGGCAAGAGAATGCCAGACAGCACAGAGGAGTGCTTTGCTCACCAGTTGCCCAGATGTGACCTTGTAGTCTGATAGACACCATGGAAAGAGAGACCTCTGAGCAGGGAGCAGCTGAATGATGCTGAATTAGCTCCATGGATTCGCTTCCTTTATTCAGTAAAAATTAAAACACGTTCAACTTGAGCTGCTTAAATTCTCTTCCAAATAAGCACGGACTGAAATCGCCCCGAATTTAAGCCGGTAAGGCTGGCCTCCTCTCCCAGAGCACCCATGCCATAACTCTTGATTACTGCATCTTACATTTACACTGAGCTCTCCAGGACAGGGAACATAAGTCATTCATTTCCAAAGCTCCTGGCACAATTCTAAACGCTCTGTGATGATAATTAATCATCACATTGTTATGGAAGTTATTCAGAAGAACCAGCGACACATTCAACTAAATCTTTACTAATAACGATGCAGCCTTCGTTCCACCCTCTCTAACAGGGAAATCAATCCTCCAACATTAGCAGGAGAAAAGCTTCCGTGAAAGGCTGTGTACATATATTTGCTCAAAGACAATTGTCAGCTAACAGTCTATTAGCCTGCAGAGCAGCTCTGACTCACATCTCGGTGTGCCAGCCCAGAGCCCCTGGCTTTCCTGCTCACCATGCCCAGCACATGGGCACGAGAAGCTACAGAAGCGAGGGAACCTTCAGTGTTGAAGACATTGGAAGCTCTACAGTAAAGGGCCTTTCGTGCTACTTGCAAACCTGATCAAACTCTGAAGCTGGTCTTCTTCCAAGCAGGGTGTTCCTTTGATGATGTCCCTTCCAGCCCAAATTCTCATCGCAATCTGGCAATTCTAAGTCATCTCAGTTCCATTTCACACACTCCCCATATTTCCCATTCATCATCCCATTCATTCAGGCTGCCAAGAGAGGCTGTGATGCCCCGTCCTCGGAGGCGTTCAAGGCCAGGTTGGATGGGGCTCTAGGCAGCCTGGTTTAGCATTAAACGTGGAGGTTGGTGGCCCTGCATGTGGCAGGGGGGTTGGAGATTCATGATCCTTGAGGTCCCTTCCAACCCTGGCCATTCTGTGATCTGTGTATATATGCAATGGCACGAGGGGGAAGACAGGCATTAAAAGAACTCGGCCTTTTTTAGAGGTTCCCACTGAAGAATTCTTTGTGACATTTCACTGAACAAAAGCAAAAAAAAAAGAAGGCAGGAACACAGGAACTTCTGAGCAGCAAAGAAGGAATCAGAAGGAAAGAGAGTGCCACTCTTAATTAGAATAAAATGCTGCCTATATTCAAAGATTTAAATCATCTGCTTGAAATTTTGAGCCGGTTTTCAAAAGTTTGTAATGAAATGGAAGAGATGACAGATGCCCTCAACAGGCAAGAGAAATCATATCAGCTTTTGATCTTTGAATGCATACAATCCACTTACCCAGAGCTCTGCTTTTTTTGTGCAGTTGGAGATAAAGCTTTTCTAACGTTTCCCATTTCTTTGTGGCAAATTGGGACTAAAGGGTTTGATTGCCAAACTTCAACTTTTAATACCCATGGCAAGCAGAACTCAATATATGCTGTATCAGTTGATAGAATAGTTGCTAAGAGTATTGAAAAATGCTAAACACCTAGTCAATCTCTATTTAGATTCTGACAGCTTGACCTAGAAATCCCACAGGAAAACTGTAGTGACTTAGAAGTTCCTGCCTACATGTTTTCCACAATGCAAAGGCTGCCTTCCTTCAATGCAGAGCACAACCCTTGAACTCATTCAGTTGTTTACTGGCTTCTCTGTCCATCCATTTCTGCCTTCTTTCCCCCCTTTCCCCCCATTGCAAGGCTTCAGCAAAGGGGATTTTTGGTAGGAAGCATCCTCTTCCCCCTTGAAGGATATCATGCTCTTTCCCCTTCTACTTCCTGGTCCATCCTTAGGAAGGCAGCAGAGGGGGAGAAGGAAATCCCAGACCTCTGGCTTTCTGGGAGCTCCTCTCGGGCTCCATCCCATGCACGAGCTAATTGGGGCACCTCCTGCCCCCCTGGCATCCATCACCATTGGTTTGGGGCCACAGGGCAGCTCTGAAGTCAGGATGTGCTCAACTCCACTTCAGAGCTCGTTCCACCTAACATTGGGTGGTGTGGGTCAGACCAAACCCAAAGCTCCCCAGCCACACAGTGCTGTTCTCAGGGCTTCAGCACCTCGAAGGCACAGCCTGGCAGCCTTTACCTGTGGGTGCTGATGTGGTAACGAGCCTCACGGTTGCCAACGTTGCGAACCAGCAGAGTTTTCTGGGTGCTGTGCTTGACTGGGCAGACTGAGAAGTTGAGCTGGTCGGGGAAGTCCAGGATAGCTCGGGCTCCTATGGCTCGGATGGGCACCACAAACTTCTCCCTCTCTGTGATGCAGGTGAGCTGGTGGAAATAGTCCTGCGGGAAGGAAGGGGGATCATCAGGAATGCATTCAGTGCCATTGCAGAAGGCAAGCCACTGTTTGCTGTGTGTTCATTCAATAATTCAGCAGTACCTTTTATTTAACGACTTAATTCCAGTAGAATGACTGGTAGAGGCTCGTTAGCTTGCCAAGAGGAAGCAGCTCCATGGCTTCACCTGCTTTCCCAGCAAGCTGACAGCCAGCTTCACGCCACAGGAGGACAAAGTTACCTGATAGCTGGGTTCTGAACAACCACTGCAGTGATTTCACAGGAGGGATTAGAGCACGAACAAGAACCTGCTCTGAGCTCCAAAGCACAGCAGGTAACTCAGTTACACACAGCTTGGCAAGGGCTGCTCAGGTAATCTAAAGGACCTGGCCACACACACAGTTAACAGCCAGACCGGGATGAAGGACATAAACAGGATGCACCACCTACGTCAGTGGCAGGTTGGTGAGTGGGGCGTTTGTTCCCCATCACCACTCTAACAGTGTCACCAATGGCAGAGCTGGGGACACCCCCTTAAAAGCCCACCTTGTCCATCTTCTTACCCCGAACACTGTCCCTGAGAACAACGACAGCACTTTTAGCACCAACAACTCCCCTCCACCCCAGGAACCCATGTGCAGCCTATTCCTGCCTCATAAAGTTCTCATTGTGCCTGACCTCTGTCTCACTTCACATCTCCTCCTAGCCTCGGAGAATGCAAAGACAGCTCTGCTTCCTCTCTGCTGCATATTCTGGCATGGCTGATGCCCGAATTACATCTCTTGTGTACCTCCTCCGGAATAAATGCCTCGGTGCCCTGCTGGCATGCTTACCTGTGGCAGTGTGAACATCCATTTCTGGTAACAGCCAGCACCTCAAGCCTTTAGCTCAGTCAGAAGCCTGAGTCCCCCTCTCAGCTGCCTGCCATTCAGCAGTGGGAAGGAGAATCCAACCACATCGCCATAGGGCCGAGCAGATGGATTTCCACGTGCATGGCAGGGCAGCACCAAGGCACCAAGTGCCTTGCCCCACTGCAACCAGCCACATGTTACAGCCAGGTCATTAAAAGCTTTGCCTCATCTCTCTCTCTCTTGCCGTCGCAGTCCTTTTTCCTTTGAACTCCCTTGAAATCATTTCCTTGCTGCTCCAAGGACACAATAAAACAAAACTGCTGTAGGAACCGCGCTTCACATCAAGCTTCTTTAGCCAGAACCCATTCAAACCCCTTTGTGCCCAGCTCCCTTGCCTGCCCTGAGCCTGACAGGGCACAGAGGCCTGGGACTGAGCTGGGATCTGGCCCCAGCAGCACCCGCTGTCCCAGCACGCTCACCACCTGCTCCACTGCAGTTAGGGTTGCAGTAACAGATGCCATCGCATCCAAGACACAAAAAGGAATAAAGAAAGGTCTTGTTTTCTAAATGCGTCTCAAATTCGCATTGGAAACCGCAGGAGGGTTTTGGTTTCTCATCTTTAGAAGGTAAAACACCAGGAAGGGAACTGCAGCAATGCCTAATATCGCGTTTCAAGAGTTTCATCTTCGGCGAGTCTTTCTGAATTAGCAATTTGGTTCTCCATCTCGCAGCCTAAGTCCTCTAAAACAAAAGAGAAGGGCAGCTCCTGCAAACTCAAAGCACTTGTTATCTGGGTATTTCATGTTCTGGACCACTCAGATCATCAGAAGCCACATTAGGAAATGAAAAAAGCCATTTACTTGTTGTTGTTTTGGCCACCCTCCTGTAACGTGGGCATTGTGAATCCGGCTGAAAGCCTCACGCCTCGTTAAGCCATGACATCTTTTCTTATCTCTGCCCTGCAGATGCCAGGTAGACAGAGGAGGACAGGGGGAGTTCAGATCAGCTGCAGGATAAGGAGGAAAGAAACTTCAGCAACTGGAACTACTGGAGGGAAATAACAGGAACTCATTTTCAAGTCGTCGCTGCGATGGAGAGAGCGGATCAGCAGCTAAGGAATTAATATCTGCGCTGGCTGAAATCCCAACAGCAAGCACGGGGCACCGTGCACAAGCACTGGGGCTGCTCACAGCACAGCACGGGGTCTGCTGCAAAGACAGGGAAATGACGGCTGCAATCCTCTGTTGTGTTGCCAGGACAGCAGCTCAGCTACGCACTCAGTTACGGTTCCAGGGGTATCACCAAACCCAATCTGTGCAACTGCAAATCCCCAGCAGGCCGTTTAAAAGCAGTTTTTAAAAGCAGTTTTCCTAAGCAAACATACCTGGGAGAGAGAGGGGTTGCATCACTTATGTGCTTTAAAGGTTGTTTAGAGCTAGCTTTAGGCTATAGACTTTCACAAAAATGGCTTCATCCTTCATATGACTCCTCTGTTTCAGGGAAAATAGAAGTCACCACACAATGCTGCCTTTTCCCTTACTCACCTTGAACAAGCAATAAGTTACAAGCTCCAGCCTTCAAAATATGACTGCTGGCATTTGCACTAGTGCCCACTGAAATTAAAGCAGCTGCTCACATCGGAGTTGTCATTCCAGGCTCTCTGCAAACTCACGCTCACATTAAAGTTGATGCCAGCATGACAGTAATTAACTGCCCAATAAACCAGCAAACTCAGGTGTCAGCTGAGCTGCATAACTGGTAAACACTGAAAAACTGCTCAATTCCTTGCTGCAGGCAACTGGAGAGCCAAGAGGTCCTGCATGGTGGGGTCATATGGGAAGCCTCAGTGCTGGAACCACGGTACCATAAAGGGCCATTAAATGAGAGGCTGGAAGGTGATGACAGCACCACAGCAGGATGGATTCCCTTTCCCTTTCCTCAACCACCAGCTAACAGGATGCTTCCCTTTGTCTTTTTGCCCCAGGCTCACTGCCTCAATCTTCTGTCCCCACTCCTCACCCCTACAAGTCTGCTCAGAAGTGCACTTGGAATAGCAGAACACCCCTAGAAGGGCTGGCCTGAATTTTCAGGGAGTTAATTCCAGTAACACAATAACTCAACATCCTGTCATATTTCATATTATCAATGAGCATTAACGCAGTCTCCGCTGAGCATCAGAAATGAATTTTGCAAACCTCAGACTGAACTCCCGTTGCCTGCAAACGTTTTATTGCTACAGCAAAAAGAACAAGGAAAAAAAAAAAAAAAAACAAAACAGATTGAGCTGTGCTATGTTTCTGGGCACTTCTAACCTCCTCCTTTTCAGATAATCTATAAGAAAGCTGAAGGATACGATGCATATCCCTGCCCACTGCTTGTTTGCTCTGCAGCCCATAATGGCAGGACACGTTGTGGAGCCAGAATGCAGAGACACAAATCAGAGGCAGTGAGAGTAACTAATTGGAAATGTTGCCCAACAGAAGAATTATCCATTTGTATTTATAACATGGGTGCCAATCCACAAGACGTGTCGGCTGTGCGCTGGCTGTGACAGCCCAGCCATGTGGCACACGACCAGATGGCTGCGAGGCAGCAAGAAGCTGCTCATTTTCCAGAAAGGGCTCAGGAGGCACGTGGCATTTTGGCCACAAACCACTTGTGTGTGCTCTCCTCTTATTTAGGGCTCGGCACAGCCCAGCTCCGTGCTTCACTCCCATGAATCAGCAGCGAGAGCCAAAGAAAGAAAACCCTACACCAGTCCTACAGTCGCATGCGTTGGTGCCCACGTCTCAATTCTCCACATCATCCATGGGGTCATGGAGCGTTCAAGAGGCAGCAGAGGTGCTCAGTTGCAGAGCCTGGGGTTGGGAGGGCCCCCAAGGGGTCACCAGGTGCCACTTTTCTCCAGTAGGACCACATCCAGGGGGGAGATCTCCTGACCACACTACTGATGCACTCCCAAAGCGTCGGTCCTTCGTGCTCTCTGAGTTCTCCCTCTGCTTCTGGTGATGTCCCCATATTGCCCCGCTGTCTCTCCAAGCTTGAAGAGCAGTGCTCTGCCTTCCATGGGCACCAGTTTTCTTCCTCCACCTCCCGAAAATGGACGCTCAATAATTAGTACAGATAAATCACATTTTAAAGTCAACGGCGTACTTTGCAAAGCCTAAATCATAGATTAAGTTCTTGGGTAGTTTGGAAAACTGCCCCAGGCCAACCTAATTTTTACCCTAAATATTAATGATGTTAAATGATTTCTCAGACACTCCAAAGGAACAGATTATTCCCCAGGCATGGGGAGCTAGGGACCACAGGGCGTTTCCTCTTTAGTTTTCTCTATCTGCTGTTTGAGAAAGGGACAAAGCGTTACGTTAAATCAGAATCAAACGAATAAAAGAAGGCAGCAACGCCCAAAGAGACACTGCACTTCTGTCCTGGTGCAGAAATGCACATGGTGGCATGGAATGGGAGCCCCGTGCACGAGGACACAGCCACACCAAGACCACAAGTTTGGGACATCTCTGCATGGAAGAACAGGGCAGATGGAGTCTGCCCATTTATTCTTACGTTTGCTTCGTCCTTTGCATCACTCCAACATCCTGCTGGGTGAGGAATGTCTACAGCCCGTGCCAGGCTGGCTCAGCCACATGCAGAGCTTCCTCCCACCCAGGCTTACAGCTGGACTGTGGCCAAGCACCCCTGGGGATGGCACAGCTGCAAATCTGGGTTACAGAAGGGATGAATGAGCATCATCCTCACTCCACTCCTGGGTGAGGCAGGGAAGTGGCTGCCAGATGAGAGAGAGAAGCTCTTTTTTGGATCTATTTATTTCTGTAGTATTTTCCATATTAATTAAAGCCTTCTCTTAGAAGAAAAAGGATGACTTATAAACATTCTCCCCTGCCATTTTCTCTGCTTTCCTACTCTTGCAATACATCTTCCCCGGGAGGCCTCCCCGCCCCTGAACCCAACAGACATTACATTAAACATCCAAGTTGGATATTAGGAACAATTTCTTCTCCAAAAGAGAGGTGAGGGACTGGCACAGCTGTCCAGATAGGTGTGAGGTCACCATCACTGGAGGTATTCAAGAATCACAGAGGTGTGACACTGATACGGTCAGTGGGCACGGTGGGGTGGGTTGGGGTCGGACTCGGGGATCTTAGATGTCTTAATGATTCTGTGATCCCACATGCCTCTGTGACAGATGATTTTAGGGAACATGTGAAGAATCAAGCCCGAAACAAGAGCTTTCAGCCTACGAGGGCACAGTCTTCACCCTGGTTGAAGAATTACCCAACCCCACTGAAATCAGCGCTGCTCCCCAAAAGCCAACACCTCAGGCTTCAGGGACTGGAATTTGATGCCAACGAAAGACACCAACCTCCCATGACCTCCCAAGGTCTCACCTTGTTCTCCTCAGGGGTGAAAAGGATGCGGAAAGTGGAAGACATGCCAGGTGCTACCTTACGGCACACGTCACCAGGGCTGATCAGCTTGAAGTAAGGCGAGCTCTCCAAGACGACCTTCACCAGCCGAGGAACCTGCAGGAAAGACATGAAGGTATTGGATTTTTTCTCTATTTCTACCTAGGTTGCAAAGATATGATCCTGTGCAGCTTACCTCCTTCCTCAACTGCCTTTGCAAAGCAATTTTAGCCCCGGAGGTGCACGCAGATGATACACTAGGAGTACAAGCAAGTGCAAAGTGCAGAACGTAGAAAGACAGAGACAGAAGAAAAGGGATGTGGCTGAGACCTGTTAAAAAAGGGTTGTGAAGAAGCAAGGGAGCAGGGGGGAAAACTGGTCCAAAAGATGAGAGCAGCCAACTTGCCAAAATGACAGAGCTGCACTACCCTTGCCTAGAAACCCCCTAGGCTGTGCGTACCAATTATGGGCATCAAAGGCATTTTCTGCCTTAAGATATGTGACCAGCACTGACTCGGTGCGTGGGTTGGTCATTAAAAGCCAGTCTCAGCCCCAGACAAGCAAGCAGGTGTATCCAGGTGCACAGATACCGATCCCAGAGCTCCAAGTCTCATCTCAAAGCCTCCAATAGGCCATTTCAGCCAACAGGCAGCTTCACCAATCAACAAACCTACCCAGAGCACACAGATGCTTTGGTTGCTGAGTCCCCCTGAAGATGAGCACCTTCAGCAAAAGCCACCTGTGACACCTCAGAGGGGAGAAAGGAGCAGCCTGAAGGCAGAAAAGCAACTTCACAAGAGACATGAGCAGCATGTATATCAAAGCCCTCCTGTGTCTGAATCATCACAGAGCCTCTATCTGCAATATACTTCATGGGATTTTATGGAGCAGACAACCTCAAGCTACTGTGCAATATAAGTCAGTATGATTCACAGGGATCTGGGAAACTGGGAGAAAGCTTTATGAGAACACACACAACCAAAAGCCAACTAAATTAGAATATAACAACCCCTCCTGGGATTATTATCTCCATACACTAAAATACACCAAGGATTTTCCTCAGAACGGATCTTACTTTTACATCAGCACTGCCCAATAGCTGAGGTCTCACTAGCTTCAAAAACTAATTCATTTTGGAAAAAAAAACCTAACTATTCACACATTGTCTCCCCCTCGTTGGACGTACAAATCCCAGGGTGCAGCTGTACAAGTTTATTATTTTTTACTGGGAACAGCAGAGATGTTGATGCAGATGTTCTTTTCCACTTGAGAAAGCATGAATAGAGCAAATGAACTGCTTGCCTGTTGGCTGGCACCTGGCAAAGACAAACATTATGGAGAGCCACGTGGATAATGGAGCAGCTGAAACCAGAAGACTTGATGGCAATGAAGACATAGCAGAAGAGAAACTGAGGCAACTCTTAAACAGAGAAGGAAATTTTTATGGTAAAGGGTCCACGCAGACTGCACAAATGTTATTCCTTGGGTGCTCCTGCTGCTTCTTTCCAATATTCCCAAGCTAAACGCTAGACAAGGAAAACAACAGAGCTCCCTAGGAATAACTGACACAGTGCAAGGCATCCATCTTGCCAAAGGGTCTTCCATTTCCAACCTGTTGCCTCAGGATGTACTTGGCTCCTTCTTGCTGCTCCTCCACCTACTACACACCCCAAGAGCTTTTTGTTTATATCCAGCAGGCAGAACTGGAGAGGGCTCCACACACCCACTTTCCTCTCCCTATACGTACATCCCATTGCTTGTATATGAGAAGGAATGGCCCCGAGATGTGCCAGAGAAGGTTGGATATGAGGAACAATTTCTTCTTAGAAAGAGCAGTGATGCAGTGGCACAGCTGCCAGGGAGGTGGGGGAGTCACCATCCCTGGAGGTGGTCAAGAACCATGGGGATGTGGCACTGAGGGACGCGGTAGAGTAGGTTGGGGTTTGACTTGGCAGTCTGAGAGGCCTTTTCTAACCTTAATGATTCCACGATTCTACACGCCTCTGTGCCAGAGCTGTATCTTTTATCACATCTTTCTTTTTCTGACCTTCCTCTGCTACCAGGATGTTTACTTCTATGTGCCAAGAGAAACCCCTGCACGCACGATGCTCTCCCCAGAGCACCTCCGAGCTCAGCTCCTTTCCTCCCTCCTGTCTGCTCCCACCAGCTCACACTTGGCACATGCCTCATTTGAGCAAACGTTTCCCCTGCTGAAAGTGAAAAGGTCTCCATTTTCCTCTTTAAACTGGAAGCAAAATTGCTGATGTTTTTCCAACTTTTCCCTTCTCGACTTTCTGGAGAAATCTCAAAACGCTCACAAGATTATTTCAAGTAAAGGCAGGGACCTCCAAAAGCCCATTACACTGGGTGTGCTGTGGTTCTCCAAAGGGAAAGCAGAAAAAGCCACGTTATCTTAGAAAAGCCTGAGCAGAACCAAATTAAGCTTCGCAGGAACCTAAGAAATGCAACTCTGAAGGTGAAGCACAATCAAAGAAGATAAGAACTGTGCAGCCCTCCACATGTCCATCCGTCCAGAGCTTTCAGGAGGAAGGATGTCATCTCAAAAACCTCCTTTGGGTTAAAACCCACCCATGCATGGTCAAAACTAGTGATAAAAACTCTAATATCACAGGAACACGTCCACATCTTTGTGACAGGAAGAATGTGAGACACTTTGTTCTGGATATGGCACGCTGCATTTCACATGTATTACACCACTCTCCTCTCCAGCACAGTGTTAGAGACACGCAGCCCAGCACTTACCATGTCGTTGTTCCTCAGAACCAGGGGTACCTCGTAGACCTCACAGGGGACATAGCTCTGGAACACCACCTCGGATGGGAAAGGCTGGAACAAGGTCTGATCCAGGTCAACTGAGGAGAACTGGAGATATGAGACAGCAGTGAGAGGAGCCAGCGTGCTCACACTGTCCTAGAGAATTCATCAGAAGAGCCACGAGCACTCAGGGAAGAGCTGAAGCCCAAGAGTTTGCATAGGGCTCCAAGACCAACTCTTGAGATGAGCTTTGCCCTGAGACAGAAATCGAGTCCCACAGGTCCCCTGATATCTCATCTGGATGCGCAGCACAGAAACTAACAAGCATAGAGTGGTTCCAAAGGAGAGAAGGCCAGAAGGAAAGCAATGCAGTAGGACAAAGGCAAGTGGGGTGAGCACTGGATGGTGGTAAAGTTCACCTCTTGTCAAGCATCACTGGACAACTTGAGTAAGGCTGGACCTGGCATCTTTGTCTCCCATGAGCTCTGTGCGAAAGGATGATTTATTTCACGCCCGGGACACTCATCCAACGTGCCTCCACCTCCTGTGCTGTGCAGGGCAACTCTGCACCAACCCGTTACAGGTCTCCAGCTGGCAAATTCCTGCCGAGCAACCCACCTCGTGTCACATGCTGAGCAATCCTCCAGAATAAAGCACATCTGCTCCCTCTGCCAGGTGTGGGTACCTAGCAGGACCACGCAGCTGGCAAATCCAACACCCTATAGTGGTCCCAACCCAAAGCATTAATAAAATAGTTTTTGTTAATCAATCTTGAGTCACTGCCATAGGGCACCCAGCCTTCAAGGGCCCACACTGCCACCAGCAATGGAGCTGTGGCCATTAGGGAGCAAGGATGGAAGGGGGCAGCTTGTTTCCTGCTCCATCCTTCTCCCATGCTATGCTTTAGCAAGGGTAGCTAAGCTGCAGCACTGATTTCAGCAGTTTATTTCTATTGGCTTCAGCATTAAAAACATCCCAGCGATGCAAAAACATTTTGCCTTTCTCTCAGCACGAGGAACTCCAGCACCATCAGCGCTTCCAGAGGGCAGCAAGACCTTCACACCCTGCTACCGAGAGAAGCCGGGGGCAAGCCTGACATACTTGCTCCTGAAATGCCAGGTTAAACAGCAGGGAAAAGGGCAGGAAAACAGTACCTTTTGGTAGGAGGTGTCACTCATGTCCAGGAGCTGCACAATGCGGGGCCGTCGTGTGCTGTGGGTGCAGGCCAACCTCTGCTCCGTGGTGAGGGACATCTCCTTCAGGAAGGCAGAAGGAGTCAGCTGCAAGGCAAAACGCAGCCAGGGCTGCAGAAAGGCCTTCCTCCTGAAAGGCTTTTCTTGTTCAAGCCCTACCGATGAATCATTTACAACTGCAGCCACTAGGACAGTCCTGGAAGTCCCATAAGTTACCTGCTGAAATATTCATCACCAGTAAATTAATTATATAGAGCGGAATACACAGGCTCCAACAGAGCAGCTCTGTCCCATTAGCCACTCCTCTGTGATTCGAAGTGACACGTTTGGGGATTTCTGCTCTTTGGGCATTTGTTTCCTCTTTAGCTTTGCTGCATGGAGCCAGTGACCTTGGAAGAGAGCAGGGAGGAGCTTTGTCTCAAGTCCCCAGCTCCACACAATGTGTTTGTGTGCAGAGATGTCACTGCTGGGCGAGTCCCAGGAGAGCAGCACCATGCCAGGACCAGGTTTGGGGTCCGAGTCCTCATTTACCTTGTTCTAACTGCTTGTTTTCTGCAGGCTGGCCTCACAGACCTATGCAGAGGTCTGTATAGATGTCTCCTCAATAGAGGCTCAGCACTGGGTCAGCTCTGGTCGGCAGAGGGAACATTTGGGGATGAGGAAGAGAGAGTTCGCAGCTCAGCAGTCGCAGGTACCATCACAGACTGTGGCTGGAGGCGTCCCTGCCTCACACCATGGGGACACAGCAAGGAGCACATGTTGGAGCTCCAGCTGTCCTTGTGCAATACCTCATAGGCTCAGCTCAGTTCCAATGCACACAGACAAGAGCCTGGACTTCCCCTAAATAAACCAACACACAGCCTGTCCCCAAGGCACTGCAACTGCCACCTCCAACAGAGAAGCATGGCAGCAAGGAGGGGGACATGGAGGATGGATGCTTCCCACCTTAACAGCTCCACATGGCCACAGTTGGTACTTACTGTTACCGGCTCTTCCACCTCAGTGACCAGCTTTGGGTTAAGGGGTGCCACCACTTCTTTCTGGAACCCATCAGGGCTTTTGGAGGATCCCACAGATTGGTGGAGCTTGTTGGTAGCCATGTTTCAGCCGGCCTGCAAGAAGCAGCAATGGGACTTTTAAAATCCAGAAGTCAGACTGTAAGGTCTCAGTGCCAGCACTGACATATCAGGATCTGCATCCAGGCTGAAGCTGGATGCCTGGACAGGAGCATGCCCATGCACTTGACAAAGGAGGAAGCAACACAGCAGTGCCAGCCTGCTACAACTTTGCTCTCAGAGTGCTCAGACCAACAACCTCAAAGCCCCTGGGATCATGATGCATCAATAACAGCACACCACTTTCCTGCCTTGCCAAGTTTCTACCCTTCGTGCTGGGAGCCTTCTAACAAACAGAGCGTTGAGTTCAATACTCTGATGGGGAGTTAGCATTTCTCAAGGCTAATTTGGTTGGTTTAAGCTACAAAAATTACCCAACAAATATGATTCCTTCCAGGCATGAAATTACCCTGGTGCTCAAGAGCATCTTCTCCATGGAGAACAAGGGCCTTAATTTCCCTTTATTAACACCCAAACTCAAAGCTCCCTACAGGCATCACTGAGGCTGTAACAACAGCGAGAGCATGAAACCCTTTAAAAACCACGAGCAACAAGTTAAAATGTAAACACATGAAAGCAGGGCCACTGTCAAGCCCTCTATAAGCAACCCCAGGAAGTTCATCACTTCAGTCCTTCACTCCCCAAGCAGTGCTGCACACATTTATGGCATCAGACTCCTCATGCAGCGCTAGGAAAGGACAAGCACAGAAATCAAGGACAGCCCTCAACCCAAAAGGCACAGACAGGCATACATGGTGGCTGTTCCCCCTCTGCTCTTATGGCAGAAACAAGGGAGCACAGCCCAGTCCTGCAGACACAAGGACATGCTACAGCAAGGGATAGGATTTCAAGCTGGAAATAACTATTTTTTCAAGAGAAATGTAATGGGGATGATACAACATTAATCTGGATTTCTATGCTTTATTACTGGGTCTTGAGAATAACTGGATTATTTGTTACAATTTTCTAGCTGTAATTTAACTTTGCCTGAAATTAATCCTGTTCATCATGCCCAAGATGACTATTTCCATCCCCCATCCCATTACCCCCCACCTCCAGCAGGGCACAGCTGCAGCCCAGGGCCTTGCTGAGCTCCAGCATGAGGAGGGGACAAGCAGAAAAAAAGCCAGCCCCACTGGACAGAAAGAAGCCCCATGGCCCCACTGAGGTGTGGTGGGGGCTGCAAGCAGCCAGAAACATTGAGGACTGCAATCCTTCTGTGCTCCAGGTCTGTTGGACCCAAGGGCTATTAATGGGTGATGCCTCTGGCTCTTGGCACCTCGGTTTTGGGTTGAGTACGGATGCCCCCTGAGCTGGGCATCAGTCCAGAACTCTGAGCAGGTTTTGAGTGGAAGATACGAACATATCCCCCAAAAGCCCATGCAAAAGCCAAAAAAAAAAAAAAAAAAGCTAAACTGAAGGTCACCAAGGACACACAGCCTTCACTCTCCCCTAAGGCTTCTTTTAACCCACAGCCAAGCCAGAAGTCTCTGCCACCATTGTAAGCTGCACAGCAACTTCATAACTCCCTGACACCCTTCCATCTCCCCCACGTGTGCTCCTAGCTCACTTCACTCCTGCTGACCATCACACAGCTGTCAGTTCTCCAGCCAACAGACCTCCTCACCCCCGCCCCATGGTCAGACCCTACCTTAGGGTAGGTAATGAGTGCTCCTCTAGCAGGATTCACTTTGTTCAGCACCCAGTCCTGCTGCACAAACAGCCTCAGTGGCTCTGGATGAGCCAGGGGGACAGGAGCAGGGCAGGGAGCCGTTGGGATGACATGGAGCCCAACGGAACCTGGAGGGCAACTGACAGGACTTGGATGTTGGGCTGCCTGGGTGCCCTCCCCACAGCCCTCTGTTACAGCCCAGTCTTCCTCATGGGAGCTGCACCAGCTCCCCAAAGCAGAAAACATCACGAGGGATGGGGACATACAGCAACAAAACCATACTCAGCACCCTAGGAGTAATATGCCACAGAAAGCATGCTGACCCAGCCATGAATTTGGGGTTTCACCTTCACCCACATCACAAACACAGATGCGGGCTCCAGCATTTGTGGCTTTGGGATTGCTTCAGCTCCAGGTTGGGCGCAGAGTCTGCCTTTTGCCTTGGACTTTCTCAGTGTCCCCATGGGGTGACTTGGGCTGTGTGGTTTGCAGTGTCACCCAAATGAAAATTACAGCCCTTGCAAATCACCACAGCCCATCCATTCCTTAAACATCTCACCCCGCAGTGAATGATTGTGGCAGTGTCAGAAAGCACGCCTTCCAGTAGCATTTGTTAACACTGCTGGAACAGCAGACAAATGAATTCAGATGCCACAGACAAGGTAATCATTTCTTTAAAGAGGACAAGCAAAGCTTCCACGCTGGCTTACAAAGCCAGGGTTTAACTTCTGTTTTGTTCACCCAGGGAGGACTCCAAGCAGCAGGCAGAGCACCTTGTTGCTGCAGCACTGGCCATGCCTTGGGGCTGTCCTCTGCTGCTGCAGCTGCTGAATGCCTCTCTAGTGGGCTTATTGCAATTAACAGCACCTATAGGTACACCAGCCAAAGCCACCCATCCTACAGGAGGATCTCAGCTGCAGGGAGCTTTTTGTGAGGCGTTCAGCCCCAGCTGAACCAAATCATCACATCTGTTTGGAAGGGAACAAGGAGCTCCGGGCTTGAAAGCCAACATTCAGTATCTGGGAATCAAGATCTCAGCCCTGGAAACAAGTGCAGAAACTCATGCCAGAACACCTCTCAACTAATGCCCAGCCACAAACCCAAGCAGGAACCCAAGAGCTGGGGCTAAGGAGTCCCAGATATGACAGCTTCACGTGCTCAAGGCACCAACAGATGTGCTGTAAGGCCAGGGGGAGCACCACCCGTGCTTATGGTTTCATCTCAGGAGGCAGAACTCAAGAGATGTCACGGTGGAAGCCATCAAGCCTCTCACACCTGGCTGGAAATGCACCCACAAACACCTCGTGCTCCTTCCCAGTAGCTCCCAAAGCAGTGTTAGAGCCTCCCCTGCCCAGCACAGATGCGATTCCTGCCTTTTGCAGGCAGACGGCACACCTGGAGCCAGCCTTCATGATCCACCAGTTGTCATCGACCTCAGTGACCCAACCCCACACTTGGTTTTGCTCCTGCTATTGAACTCACCACATATTTCTCCTGTTTCCAGCCCAAAGCATCCTGCTGCACCAGGCCGAATTCCTCAGTACTGCTGGATAAGAACTTGATTTAAACACCAGCAGCTGCTACACAGCCCTGCCTTGCATGGGTTCTTCACTCTCAAGTTTTGGGCAGTGGCAAATGAGCCACTGAAATGGCCACAGAGTGGAAAGAAAAGGAATGAAAGAACCTCCCTCGTTAAAAGTATGGAGGATCTGAGCCCTGGATTCAGGAGACTAAAGCAACTTTCAGCTTGGCTGCCTGTTCCCTCACTATCGAAGACCAGGATCATCTTCAGAGGAAAGCAAAAGGGTTTGTTGCATGATGTGGGCTCACAGCTTTTGCAGTGAGACTTTGCAAGAAAGCTCTGCAGAGCATCTGCCTGCTCCCAGATGAGCCTTCGTGGTCAGGAGCTGCACGAGTGGTCAATAAAAGCACATGTCAACCTCTGACCCAATGAGTGCTTGGCTCATAACCCAGGCTGGGGTCACACAGCCAAACTAACCACATAGATGTGTAGGCAGAAGGCAGGGCTGCATGCACACATCCAGCATGTCAAACCAAATGAGAAATAAATACCACATTTCTGTAGACATTAAGGAAAAAACAGAGGGGTTGGGATGAAGGCAGCTCCCTGCCTGCACATGCTGTGACTGCAGGCTGGGAGAGCTGGTCCCTCACCAGCTGATTGCCCTTCCCTGCCCATCAGCACACTCCGCACTGCAGTAGAACCCAGCTCTTCTTGTAGCACAGACCCATCTGTGGCTGAATTCTCCTTTGGTATACACACTGTAAATCTTCTTTCTCCTTCCTTCTGCAGAGACAAAGCATCTCTCTGGAGTAATTGGATAATTGGCCTTTCTATTATGCTTTGCTGGAAGAGCAAGACAGGAGATCTGTTAAAACCTCGCATCAGGATGCTATTGAACAATTTTGTTAGTCTAAATCATCTTGCCCCGTTCAGGCTAAAGTAGCAAGATCACATTTCTTGCCTAGAAATCGCCTGCTTAGCCATAATTACCATACAAACAGCACCTCAAGAAAGCCAAGAAAAGAGAAGCAGAGCTTCCAGGACCAACCTCCAGCCTACTGCTAAGTGGCTGAGTGCTTTCTAAATCAAGTCACACTACCCAGGAAGCTTCACCTGCCACCTTTACATTCCACTCCCTCCATATTTTATCACTTAGGGGCTGTCACCCTGCAATTTATCAGAAAAGCTCTACCACAGCTGAGATAATTAATAGCAGGCTGGTATTATGCCTCCCATTCGACTAAACTTCAGCTCTCAGCTGGCTGTTAGGTGGCCCAAATTTCTCTCCAAGGTCTTCTGGAGGCTCTTCGGCTCCATATATTATAACTGCAGCTCCTTCCTCCAGCACTTACAGTGTTGTTCGCCTTCCCAGCAGCCTCTCCCATGCACACCCAAGCAGGAAGAAGGGAAACTGCCAGCATTCCTGGAAGACACAGCCTCCTTTTCTGAACCACCTCCAGTTTCCAGTGCAGGCAGCAGGATGCACCCTAACCAGTGACCCCAAAGGACCAGGCATCTGCTGAGTGGCACCAGAAGTTGCAAGCCTCCCAGCTGTCCTGATCTGCCACCAAATAAAGCTGTATATATATTCACACCCAACTCTCACCAGGCTGCTTTCATCTTCGGAAGAAAAGAAGCATGAATTCAACTCAAAGATACCAACCTGGAGATGAGCTGGTAACTAAAAGGCAGAGGAATAAACTTCCCATGATCCCACCTTGGCTGGATTGAGCTTTGGGTCAAATCCTTGGCTTCAGGGATTGCTGCCCTTGGACAAGGGACAGAGGCTGTTGCTCAAAG